TAATCTTAACTGTATATATAAAATTACTTTAATAACATTTTTTTTAAATTCTCAAATAAATAGACATTTTACTTAAAAAAAAATTATCAATACGTAATGAGTTTAAAAATAACTTTAAATAAATATTCAATGAGTTTTTTAAAAGTACCTAAAATAATGTAGTTTAAATCAAACATATATTAAATATTACAATTCAATCTTAATAAGATTTGATTTCTTATTAACTTATTAACTTATTTAAGTTTTCTTATTATAGGATTTAAGATCTTCTTTAATATCTTTTCAATTATATAGTATTAGAGTTACAATTTATTTCCTATTATATAATTAGACAAAAGAAAATATATATATATATATATATATATAAAGAGTGAAGAGATACTGAGACTCTCACCACTAATTTAAAATAACTAGCATATCTATCTCGTTTTGTGGATTGTTAGGATATATTTATATTTAAAAGAAAAAATTATTATTATAGACAAATAATAAAATAAAACACAAAAAAAGAAAAAAAAAAGTAAAGAGTAAAAATCGAAGTATCCTAACATTTTAATTGATAAGACTATTTTTATAATTATTTAAATATTCCTAATAAATTTTCTTTTTGTATTGATTTATTAAGGATATTTAAGTATTTTTATCATCATTTGTAATAGTTTAATTCATAGGGCGTTCTAATTTTCATAATTTCAAGAAAGAATTGTGATATTAAATAAATAATTTCAGAAAGTTTTAATTGATTTAAGAAATATTTTAATAATTAATGCTACGTGATTAATAATTTAAATAATTTAGTGATAGTAATTTTTTTTTGGAAGAAAAAATTTTGAATTTGAATAACATAATTTGTAAATGAGTTAAGTTAAGAAATGAAAAATAGTTATCTCTTACTGTATCATCAAAGTTAAAAAAAATATATTTAATATTACGTAATAAAAATACGTGAGAGCAAAATTACTCCTATCAAACTTAATTTATTTAATTTACAACATAACTAATTTTATAATCAAACCAATAATTTTTTCATGTAAATATGTTGTATAAAGTAAAAAAATAATTTTTACTAAAATAACCTCAAATAGAAAAAAAATATTCAAATACAAAATAATTAAAATAAAAATTAATTATATCAAATATAATTGTGAAAAAGGCAAAATAAACTTTTTATGTAAATAAAAAAGGCATAAAATCTACAATAATTACAATAAATACCATTACACGCAGACAAAAAAATATTTTTAATATAAATATAAAATAAACAAAAAATTTACAAAAATTACATTAATTGCTATTAACTCAACCAAAAGCCCTTAAACCCTGATGAAGTTATAAAATTGGCACAAGCCAATTCTATTTCTAGAAAGAGAAAGGAGCATTAAGGAGAGAGACAAGAAGAAGCGGAGTTGACTTTACCTTCTTATTGCTCTTTATATACCATGTCTCTTTTCTTAATGGTAAAAGTACATTGTTGGTTCTTA